GGGGCTGGTGTCCCTGTGTGCTAATCCCGGGCCTGAGGTCTTCAGAGAGACCTGGGAAACTTCAAGGAGGGGAAGCCAAAGCTGTACTGCAGCTGAGCTCATTAGCCAGCACCCCCCTCCCCACGAGGAGGAGGGCGGGAGGCCCAGTGAGCTTGGCGGCAGAGAAAAGGCTGTCACTGTCCTTTCTTCCTTTTGGTACAAGCGTCTCCCTGAGCCTACGATTCTCCTGCAGTGACACCTCTCACGGGCACTAATGAGATCCATGCCACAGAGCTAATGCATTCTGACTGGACTCTGATAGACACCCCACTCATGTGGGGGAGACCACAGGCTAGTACTTCCCCCCACAGAGGGGCACCCCCTCCCCCTTGCTACCACCTGCCAACTCAGCTCTTGCCAAACTGCTGGGCAGCAAGCTCCTGAGAGTCCATTTGGTCTCTGGCCATGCTACCTGTGCCACGGGCCTCAGCAGGACCCTCCCCGGTCGGTCTCCGAGCGGAGGGGCTAAGATCACAGGGCAGGACCACCCAGCTGGCTATCAGGGACTGTTGCAGTTATTCTCCCAGTCAGCGGCAACCAGCAGTCTGTGGACTGTCGCAATAGCGGTTTTGACTGATATTTGCTGTGCAGATTTCAGAAAGAAAAGAAGGGAAGGAACCCAGGTTTGCTGCAGAGCCCAGTATGGAGGACTCAGGCTTTGTGTGTGTGTGTGTGTGTGTGTGCTGCTGTGTGTGTTGCTACAGATTGAACCCAGGGCCTTGCTCATACTAGGCAAGTGCTCTACCACTGAGTTGCATCCTTAGCCTAAAGGACCCAGTTACTGCCTACTACAAATCTTACCAGGAAAATCTTCTGTATATTCCTAATGTGAGGGCCTGGAAGATGGGTGGGATTCCCTGGGCCAGGAGGTAGAGAGCAAACTGCAATTAGAGTAAGAACTTCCAGGGCCAGAGGAGGCCAGAGGTCAGCAGGTGCAGTGCCCTAGCTTCAGGGCAAAGTGGTTTCAACAGGACTGACGGACCGCGGTACCTGCCTTCCTTCCTTCAGCTGTTGCTGCCCAAGCTTTGTAAAAGCCTCTAAGGGTCACGTGACCTTAAGGAAACTAGGGAAAGGGTGGAAGAGATTATTTCAGTGGCTGAGGTGCTTTCTCTCAAGCACGAGGATCTGAGTTTGAGTTCCAGAACCCAGATTTTGTTTTGTTTTTTTAAGTTAAAGCAGTAACGAAGTTCAACATTAAAAAGCACAGCAGTGGCAGGGCGCAAGGATTGAGAAGCTAGGCTGTGTCTTTGGTATTTATTTAATCCTAGCTCCTTAGTTCAACTGGTGTGGGACCTTAAGCAAGTCATTCCACTGAGCGTCTCTTCTCTAAGAAGGGAAAGTGATGCCTCCCTTCATGTGACTGTTATGACAATGAAATTAGTTTATGTAAAACAGTAGGAACACTTTGTTGGCCCTCGGATGAAGTGAAAGTAGCTGTGAGGCCGTCCTGTCTTGGAGACAAGCTAACTGGAGTTCCTGACAGAGCCACAGAGCCTTGGAAGCTGGCAGATCTACATTAGCAGCTCTGCCGTGTAGCCTACCTTATACACCAGGCTTCCAAGGCCAAACCCACCTCTACTCTGCTAAGATGTCTTGCTCACAAACCTCCAGAGCCCTTCTGCCCAATGCCCTGGCATCTCTGGACCCTCCCTCAGCCACCCCTTAACTGTCACCTCCTTCAGTCTCCAGCCAAGCCCAAAAATCTACCTGAAATTTCTGTGGGTACCAGGAACCAAGCCTGAATTTATACCAACTCACCTGTGGCCCTGTCACAATTCTCGACACAAGCAGATGCAAGGTAAGCAGTTAATGGCTAAACCGAAGTTTCCCCCGGTGCCTGCCCCATTCTCAGAGCCGCCCTGGCTCTCAACGACCTTTCTGTGATGGCCTTTCTTTTGGCCTCCCTGCCCCGCAGACTCTCCATCAGTCCTTCCCACACAAACCAGCAGACCACTCTCAAAGCTCAACTCAGACCACATCCTTCCCCTCAACACCTCAGGATACACAACTTCACTGGCCTTCCTCCCACCCACCCTCTCTCCCCGTCCTCTTCCTACACCACCACCCCTCTAGCAAGCCTGCCTCCTTGTACTCTGAGCAACTCCCCATCATCAATGTCATATCATCATGGCACTGTGGAAGAACCAATCAGAGCCTGGAGATGGCTAAGTGGTGGGATCTGCACAATTCTTGTCCAGCATCACCCAATGCTGCCGCACCCCCACCCAACAATATACATACCATTCCCTACTCCAGCCTGGCAGCTCCTCACACAGTTAATTAGCACCATGTCACTGAGGACCAGCCTGAGTGGCCAGTGACAGGAGCTGACCCCTGACCCCAGGGCTGGGAAGCAGTCCACATCAAACTCTTACAGCGCGACCCTTTTAGCACGCACAGTAACTCGGGGCACCGCCAGCTGAAGCTCATTAAAGCTGTCTCTTTGGTGCGAGGGCCATTAACCTCACTGCTCAAAACCCACACCTCCCCTCCCTGCCTCTCCCAGCCCAATTAATGCCCTCTATCCACCCTCCCTTCCAAACACCCTCACCCACACCTCAGAGCTAGCCAGGAGCTGGCAGGGCTGCCCTCCTCATTCAGACTGCTGAGACCAAGTGCCAAGAAGGGCCCGTGCCCTGGCAGCCTCTGACATTGGCAAAGCCATGGAGAGGGAGCTTCCTGAGCATCTACCTTGAGATGGGCCTTAGACAGGCCTTTCCCTGGGCTGCTCATCGGCCCCTCCCACTGCCCCAGGAGGCTGGCAGCACTGCCCCTCAGCTGAGGTCTCAGGGTTCTGCACAGTAAAGCTAGAACTATTTCTGGCTTCATTGTTACTCAGAGCCATGAGCTGCCCCCTGGGCCAGAGAGAAGAAAAAATGTTCTTCTTTAAAGGAAAGGCCACCTCAGGAGTCCTAACCCAGGAGAAGAGACAAGGGAGGGACCACTGAGCCTCAGGAGGCAACAAAGAGTGGCGAGAGGGAGTGTTGTTCTCCTCACAGATACACCCTCGTTCAGACAGACAGAAGCAGGACAGTTAGCTCAAGGCTGTGGAGGATGCCTTCCCATAGTTCTGTTGTTCCACCCACCCACCCACCAGACTCCACTGCTGCTAGCCCTCTTGAACGAATGCAAGCCTTCTCAATGGTCCTTTCCCAAACTTGGCCTCTCCCTTTCCCATCAGTCTTCCACTGATTCATTTACTTGCCAGCTTTTCATCCACCATCCGCAAGATTTTATTGAGCGGCTACTAAGAGTGCAACACCAACTGCTGCACTAATCCTGAATCAGAGTTCTGGTCACAGCATTCTTTTATCTTCCAACATCCCCTCTAGACCTTATTTTCAGAGAGGGAAGAATCACCTTTTAACCAAGCACTCAAGGCTCTGCTTCTAGCTGTTTACTTAACTAAACTTTCTATTCTAGTCTTAGGAAACTACTTGCAGATGTCTAAACCTATCTTCTTAATATGCTTTCAGATCTTTAGGCTTTCTTTGTACACACAGTTTCCCTACCTAAATACTACTTCTTTGTTTTTCTACCTAGAAAATGTATTTATCCTTCAAGGATCCCAACTCAAGTGTTTTTATCTAGTAAATTTCCTGCTGATCCCTCAAGATTTATCGCAGGAAAGAACAGCAGTTACGGCAGGGTGTCCCAGAGCCCCAGGCTTCCTTCTCCCCCTGGTCCCTAGGACTGATAAAGGGCATCCCAGGAATCACTACACTGTAGATGAAGTAGAAGCTACCTTGGCAACTGAGAACAGGGAAACTTCCCTGGTGGCACAACAAGCAAGTACGCATTCCAGGCTCTGACCCTTCTCAGCATGCTCAGCACCCACTGGGCACTGATAGATGTGAAATGGGTAGAGGGGCTAATTTGTAGCGAGTGGCTGGGACCTTCTACCATTCTGATGTCTCTAGCCCCTACAAATGACACCTTGTCAAAAGTAATCAAGTTCTAATAAGGTCATAATGCCACCCAGCATCAATCTGGCTCCATCCCCTAGAACAATGCCTACAGCTGGTCATCTGTGTTCCTTGGAAGCATCTTCACACACACACACACACACACACACACACAAGAGACACAGGAAGAGACTTTCTTCTACAGATACACACACACACACAGACGGGTAGCTGTTTCCATAATCAGTCACATGCCCTCAAATCAACATGGATGTATTGTAAGGCAGACACCTTCTTCTAACAGACATGTTCAAGGAATGGACACTTTATACTCAGACACACAGATATACAGGCAAGATGTCATACACAGACACATATTCACACTGATGTAGCAAAGCTCACAGAGCCACCAACTATGTGGAATTGCAGCCACTCCAGTTTCTCTCAAGCAGAAATCCCCGAGTGTTACCCCACCTGTTACCCCAAGTGGCCCCTCCCAACCCAGGCTCTCCTCAGTGGAGGCTGCTGCTCCTGCAGGGGAGTCAATACCCTGTGGACGAAGTCATCGGTCAGAAGGACCTAGACTAATTAAAAGCTGGTGAGGTTTAAATAATTCATCTCCTTAACTCCCATTGATCGTCCAGTTTAGTGGCCACAGACTTGAAACAATATTAAACAGCCTCCTCCAGCTCCACGGGGGGGGGGGTGCCATGGGGGGGGGTAAGCTGACATATGCCCATATCCCTGAAGACACTGCTCACTAGGGGTGCAGGCAATGGGGACAAGGGACAGTACTTTGAATCTAAGGCCACCTGTGACTTACCCAAAGCCTATATTCCAGTCTCCTCTCAAACGTTTTGAGAGGTGCTTTCCAATTGCCCCAATCCACAATATCCTCAATCTGCCCTCCCTACCCTCCTCCCTCCAGCCAATGGTGAGAACCTTCCGTAGGGTTGGATACTGAATGAGACATGGAAACCCTCTGTTTGCCAGGGGACTGAGGCATGCGGGCAGGGGACTGACAGAGCTGCCAGGGGGATTTGTGGAGGGACTGACCAATGCCGCTGTGGGGCCGGCCTATGTGTTGCAGGCTGAGACCCTTGTTCATGTCTAGTAGTCCATTCTTGGGCCAGCAGCCCATGGCGAAGCTGTAAGCCTGGAAGACAGGAGGCAAGAGTTGTTAACAGAGGTCCTGGCCACTGAGCAAACCCCACTCACCAAGTCTCCCCAGTCCCCACTTCTTCCCTTCAGGTACTTGCAATACCAGCTCATTAGAGTCCCTCACCACATCCCCTTCCACCAAGGCTCTCCCCACCATAAAAATCCCTTCCTTCTCCTGGGCCTTCCCAGTCAGCATCTGCCATCCTTCCTGGGAGGCCCTTGCAGGGCTCTTCTCTAGAAGTCTGGCTTGTTAAGGTCCTCCCCTCATCAGAGCATCCCTTCACCATGCACCCCTCCACAGATTCCCATCCTGGAACACCACAGCTGTGCTGGGCTCCCTCCCTTGATATGACTGGTCACAAAGACTGTTCTCTGATAGGATGCAGGAAATTAGTATTTCCAAATTTCATTCCACAAACAGGAAAAATGAAACAGGAACTGGCCAGTAACATGCTTATAGTCAAGTTGCTTTTGATTCTGCACAGACAAGGCTGTGGAAGGTCGTGAGTGCTGTGTTAGAGCTCAATGAAAGGGAAGTAAGGTCACCAGGTCAACTCAAGCATCAGTGAGGGAAGTACAGGGTGGTGTGTGTGTGTGTGTGTGTGTGTGTGTGTGTGTGTGTGTGTGTGTTCTGTTGAAGGTCAAGTGCTCACTTATGCATATTCAAAGCGGCCACCCATTGATCTGTACTTAATTGTTTTCCTGGGGTTGGGAAAGGAAGTGCTGGGGGCATCGATCTGTTCAGGGGCCCCGCAGCTCCACGGCTCCCTCCAGCCTCTATCGCACCATCTGGCCTCTAGCAACTTCCATGTGTGGGGAACACATGGCAGGACAGGATCTGCCTTCCCTCACTGGGGACAGGACCAGCAGCATCTTTCCTCACTGGCATGACAGGCCTAATGTCACTGATGAGGAAACTGAGGCCCAGAAGAGAGTGACTTTGAGCTATGTGGGGTAGACCTCTACAATGTGGCTGAGGGGGACTTCTTTCTTCTTAGTTTGCCAAAAAACGTCCTGGGCTTCTGCCAGCAGGTCTGAAATCAAAACTAAACTAAACATTTAACTATCCATCCCTTCACTTCAGAAGTCACTAAGCACTAAGCTGGCCTTCTTCTAATGGCAGGAAGGCGACAGCACGTGGGACAGTGGCAACAGGGCTGAAACCTGGGTGAGGTGGATCGGGTGAGAGAACCCAAACGTGCTAGCCATGCTTAATACGCATTGCAGTGCCCACCTACTTCTGTGCCCAGCAGCTCCCACAGAGGAGAAGACCCAGCCTAGGGCCAGAAACAAGATGTCTCTGTGTGTGTGTGTGTGTGTGTGTGTCTGTGTGTGTGTGGGGGGATCTGTCAGTATGTATCTGTGCCAGGACCCAGGGGCTAGGCAGGCAGAGGGCCAGTTTCTCTCCTTTTCAGCTTCAGGAACCCAGCCCACAGGCACTAGAAGACTAGGAGCCAATGCAATTTAAAGCTCAGCACTTCCCAAAGCCATTTTCCTTGACCACAGAGGGGCAGCCAAAGCTCAACGCCAGCCAACGTTTCTCTACCTTCTTCTCCCAGGTCACAGTTACAGCCACAAACGGAGGTTGAGTGTGGGACTCAAGGATGGGTTTGGGAGAGAGCATGCTGGCAGAGCCAGGATGGGCAACAAGGGATGTACGCAGCAGCAAAAAGATGCAGGCGGATAGGGGACAGAGTCAGTAGGTGGGCACAGCTGGGGGAACTGCTGAGCATGGCCAGCTGAGGCTGGAGCGCAGTGGGCCAGAGAGCAGTGGCGGCTGCCTTTCAAGTACTTTAAAATCACTTACAAAGGCCGGATTAAACGATCAGAAATTCCATTTAATAGGACAAATAAAGAAATAACAATCTACTCTATCAGCCTGGAGAAGGCGAGCTGGATGGTTTTTTTTCCCCCCTTGAAAAAGGAAAAAGGGAAGGAAGGGGGAAAAAAGAAGGATAATGTGTGTTTACTCAAGCAAAGAAAAAAATATTTAAGTGATGTCGGGGAGAAGATTGCAGTAACTAGTGAAGAATAACATCGTCTACTTTGCTGTCAAATCACACCCGAATTTCAGTAATAGATTCTCGGCTGACACTCAATTCAATTCGAAGGTGATCCTGCTTTATCCCAGCCCATCAAATATTAAACACTTGCATTAGCAGGTGCTGCCGCTTCCCGGCTTAAAGCGGCGGGCGGCAGGGCTGTGGCAGCCCCTCCACTCTGCTTGTGGCTCGGGGACAGGGCATCTTAACGTTATCTGCACGTCATCCCGAGCCTTATCTCAGCTAAGCGGGAAGACCACTTCAGATAACATTAGATGCTTGCCCCATACGTCACCATGATTAGATTATTACTGTAATTATGACTCCCCAAGATCTTCCCAGGCTAGGATGTGTAGAAGGGGGAATGGAGGGCCAGGCTGGACCAGGGCAAGCTGGAGCCCCAGGCGGGAGAGAAGTAGCAGGCAAGCTGCAGCCTGGTCCCGCCTGACGGATGCCTTTCAGGAAGGGCAGTGTAGCTTGTCAGAGCAAGGGTGAGATGGATTGGCGTCTCCACTGTGGCTGTGGTGTCATGCTGCACAGTCTCACAGTCCTAGATAAGGCATGCTAACCAATGTTGCTGAGACACGGCCTCATCCAGCACTTCCTCAGGGGGTATGGGCCAGGAGGAGGGGGTGGCATGTGCACATGGGTCTGCCAAGCTCCTAATAAGAGGGATTTAATTTTTACAAATGCTGCTTCCAGCGGGGCCTTCACATACCAGCCAAAGTCCAAAATGATATTAAAAACGGTTAATTAAAACTGCTCTCCTTCAGCCTGGGATTCCTCCTGCTGCCCCTGCTGAGAACACTGGCACATCTCCCCCAGAGCTTAACCTTCTGACATGGCTACCAGTCTCACAGAAGCAGTCTAGGCACAGCACTTCAA